AGTAGGTTGAGGTATAATCTCCATTGGAAAAAGGCCACTTTAGGAATCTGCTTGGACTCCCAGATGATCTGGAGTGGGAGGATTGGTTCCTCTTCCTCAAGGAGCTCGATAATATTAAATGCTTCCTTGAAACTGAGGTCTTTGATCTGTTGAGTACTCCACTGCAAGTATTCTTCAGTAGCTGCAAAAAAATGGTTAGTAGCGGTAGGATGAACAGAACAAATTCTTTTCCAAATTGTTGAGTCTATTATTTGGGGCTGGAAGTTGTTCATTCTAGGATATCTGGCTCTCATGAATTTACTCCAAAGGGTGTTATTGGCATGGTATGTCCACCAAAGTTTGAGGCTGTAGGCCTCTTGCACCTTATATATATATTCGAGATGAACTCGGTTGGTTTAGATATCAGATTTGCTTTCACCTCTATGAGTTTACCATCATCGGTCTTCAGTTGAGGAATTCTTCATCACAAGTTGTCAACAGCTACAATGTTCAGTCACCCAATGCATACTAAGGATAACATCAATTTCCTTGTATGGTATTTTGACGAGGTTTTGCAAGGAATTGTTGCATAACGAACGATTTCGATTCGTATGATATAATCGCATATTTGCGTCGTAATGAGTTAGACATCAGAATGGGACCATTTTAGACAAAAGAGTTTATGGATTATAAACGTTCGTGTTTGAATCAGCGATCCAATCGTCTTCAGTCCACATGAGGATCTTTGACAGTAGCTTCACAGATGTTATTCAACATTAATTGTTTCTTCATAGTCGTCTCACTTCTAAGCGACTTTACAAGGACGATCAGTTTCGTAATTTGCGATGCGATAAGTATGTTGATAACGTATGAGGGAGTCATATTTTTTTTATTTATTCTTTCGTCTCTTCATCGAGTACGAAAGTTCTATTAGAGTCTATGCTCGATATGATTTCAGTACTAATCAATTATTATTCAATGAGAATTCTAACAGACTAAATATTTACCAAGTAATTTCTCATACCTTTCCTGGAGCAGAGGGATGCGAAGATCGGGTTTAAAACCATTTGCTCCGATACCAAACTGTAACACCCTAATCCGTCCAGGTCTGCAGCCCCTTTCAGATTAAAGTACTAACTTGGTAATCGTAAAAATTTAAAACATTTCAAACACTTTTATTTATCACAATAATATTTTTCATAATATAAACAGTACGAAGTTTTCAATATTGCGGAAGCTTAACAATCATAATCACAAACATAATTTATTTATGTTCTTTAATTCAAAACCATCACATCCATTCCGACAATCTCACCTCCGTCTGCCTCCAGGATCACGTCACTTCATTAACCTGCGTGTAGCAAATAAAACATACTACACGCTCAGCGTTGAAGCTGAGTAATCATATCTAATGCATCGAACATCCATATAAACTGAATCTAAATTCATAATCAAATCATTTGATATCATGCACATAATGTTCAGTTCAGATAATCAATAATTATTAAAAATTATTCATCATGCATTATTCAACATTTATATTCACATTCAATGTTCATCAGTCATTCATAATAATTGCAATATTCAATTCAATATTCATCATTCAATATTTACTCATATTCAATATTCAATATTCAANAGCGTAGTGTTCACTGTTGGGTGGGTGGTACCCCCAAACGAGTAGGTACTCAAGTTTGGTTCTTGGATCCCGTACGTACGTTTTAACCCTAGCCACCGGGGTTCATACCCGCAAGGCCTAACTTAAATAGGTATATCTTAGAGGTCTTCTAGATACCTTTCAAATCAACATTAATATGGGTATATCTTAGAGGTCTTCTAGATACCCTTAACAATACATTTTATTTTCACAATCATCAATATATTCATTATGATTTAATCATTCACAATTATCATTTTTAATCAGAATATTCATCAAGATTCAATCATCATAATAATCAATCAATAATCATTACCATAATCATCAATCAACATAATATTTAATAACAATTAGCGGCCTAGCTTCGGGTGTTAACACCCTAACTTACCGTCATGCATCACACAACATTTTTATTTGTTAAAAACATCATTTTTATTATGGTAAATCATTTTTCCAATGATCATAATCAATTGGTGGATTTTAGAGTATATATTTTCCAAATATTTTCGGAACAGGATCTGGAATTGAGGAAAATAATTTAAAATAATCATTTAATTTATAAAAATTGATTTGAATAATTTTAAATAATCCATTAATTCATAATAATCGATTTTTACAATTTAAATAATCTTTTAATTTATAAAAATTGATTTATATAATTTTAAATAATCCATTAATTCATAATAATCGATTTTAACAATATAAATAATCGATTAATTCATAAAAAATCGATTTTTACAATTTAAATAATCCATTAATTCATAATAATCGATTTTTACAATTTAAATAATCAATTAATTCATAATAATCGATTTTTACAATTTAAATAATCAATTAATTAATTTTAATCGATTTTTACAATATAAATAATCGATTAATTCATAAAAATCGATTTTTACAATTTAAATAATCAATTAATTCATAATAATCGATTTTTACAATTTAAATAATCAATTAATTCATAATAATTGATTTTTACAATATAAATAATCCATTAATTCATAATAATCGATTTTTACAAAATAAATAATCGATTAAATGGTACTGACTTCGAACCACTGATCTGAATAAAATTCTAATCGATTTTTAGTAAGTAAATAATCGATTTTCGGCCACTGTTCATCATCTTCTTCCTTGGGTCAGTTTTAACATTATCATTTTTAATCACCAAACTTCAATTAAATTATATAGGAATGTTCCCCAATGTTCACAGATCATTTTAGAGTCATTAATTTGTAGTTTTAACAACAATTTCTTAAAACGTACGTACGGGATCAATAACCAAACTAGAGGAACTCGTTTGGGGATGCCACCCAACCCGACAATTAGTATCCTACTATTCGATTTTCTGGATTTGTACCTTAAGCGAAGGCTAGTTTAAGAGTTGGTAAATCAATCGGAAATATGTACCTTAAACTAAGGACCTAGCTTAAGAGTTGGTTAGAAGTACCTTAAACTAGAATTAGTTTAAGAGTTGGTTAGAAGTACCTTAAACTAGAATTAGTTTAAGAGTTGGTTAAAAGTACCTTAAACTAGAATTAGTTTAAGAGTTAGTTAGAAGTACCTTAAACTAGAATTAGTTTAAGAATTGGTTAGAAGTACCTTAAACTCGAATATAGTTTAACTATCTTAAACTAGAAATCGTTAAAGAGTTGGTAAACATAAAAAAGATTGACCTTAGACTAAGCATAGTTTAAGGATATTGTTGAATATTGAATATTGAATATGAATGTTGAATGTTAAGATATTGGAATAAAAATATTGAGAATATCATGAATGAATTATATATTGTGTGCATGATATCAAATGGTTGTTTGTGAATTGAGATTCAATTTATGTGGATGTTCGACGCTTTAGATATGCTTACTTAGCTTCACCGCTAAACGTGTAGTGTGTTTTATTTGCCACACGCAGGTAAACAGAAAGATTAATGTGATCCTGGCGGCAGATGGGGCGAGATTGTCGGAATTGATGTGACAAGTTTTGAAATGATTTATGATATGTCAATATTAAATTTGCTTCCGCAATATTGTTAAATACTCCGTACTGTATATGTTATGAAAAATTTTATTGAGATTAATAAAGTGTGTTTGAAAAGTTTTAAATTTTACGATTACCAAGTTAAATACTTTAGTCCGAATGGGGCTGCAGACCTGGACGGATTAGGGTGTTACAATTTGGTATCGGAGCAAATGGTTTTAAAATCGATCTTCGGATCAAAATATGAATTAAAAAAATGTGTCAGTCACATCCACGACTCTCGCATCCCTCTGCTCCAGGAAAGGTATGAGAATTTATTAGATAAATATTGACGTTGTTAAAATTCTCATTAGATAACAATTGTTAGTTCTGAAATTATATCGAGCATAGACTCAAGTAGATTTTTCGTACTTGGATTGCTGATTTAAACACGAACGTTTAGAATCAATAAAACTCTGTTGTCTAAAAGTATCCCATTCTGATGTCTAACTCATTACGAAGCAAATATGCGATTATATTATACCAATCGAAATCGTTCGTTTAGCAACAATTCCTTGCAAAACTTTGTTGAACTATCCTACAAGGAAATTGACGTTATCCTTATCTCGTATCGATGACTTATTTGATCAGCTTAGAGTATCCGTTGTGTTCTCTAAGATTGACTTACGATCAGGATACTATCACATCCTTGTTAAGAAAGATGGAGAAACTGACAATCAAGAATCACTACCATTTACTACGTACTCACGACTTGTTCGGCCAAACTCAAAGAACGTGCTCAACCTTGTTGACCGAATTGACGCCTTGTTAAGAAGAAACTAATGACGTAATTGCTTATCGTAAAAAACATTAGTGAAATGAAGTGATGCTGACAAGACGAATAGTTAAGAGAATTGACTCGTTTGTATGCGTTATTGACGTGAAATATTGCGACGTAGTGACGATACAAATCAAGACGTGAAACAGTGACACCAACAGCGAACGACTGAAGAATGAAGAAAATATAGCTCGCACTGGCCATACAGCCTAGAATAATATTTATGGATAATATCATTTCAACAAAAAAAAACTTAGATCATATGAGGAATGTTACAAATGCAATTCCAAATCTAATCTCCCAGAATTTGCAAACTCGTCATAACTAGCCCCAGGACCCGGGAAAGCTTTAGCAAACTCTAGTTTGTCTAAAAGCTCGTTAACAAAGAAAGAAGAAATAAAAAGATTCCTCTGACTGGAAGCCATGAAGTTCTGCCTCACCGCATCGTCTAAGAATTTGAGAAGGTTATTGAAATAACCGCCAATGTTTAAAAGACCAATGGGTCTATTGTGTAACCCTTCAGAAGCCCACAAGATCAAGGTGAACAAACCTTCCATAAGTAAAACTCCTCCGGGAAGAATGATGAAAGCTTCCACGGCATGATTCATCTCAAAATATTTGTAGTAATTGCTGGAAACTATGTGCTCTACACCGTACGTAGGTCCATAGACTCGTCGTGTTGCTATGTACCCAGGAATGAAACCTCTAACGAGATCACCATTAATAAAGACTGTTGAAGCAACAGCTCCTTGAAGGCCAACACTACCTCCTCCATAGGCAAGTTTAATCTTTCGCCTTATCAATTCTCTTCCTAAATCTACCGTAGTAGCCATAAACTTTGGATTTCTACCAAGAGAATGACTGCCAAGTAGACCAATGAATCTTATGGTGTAAGGAAGTGTTCGAGAAGTTCCTTCCATAATGTGAGAATGTGAGATACTCTTTTCATAATCGTGATATATAGAGTCTCTGAAACCTGACTCTTGATGGAAAGGTTATTATCACCAGCCAAAATGCGTACAGAAAAGTGGATTCGCTTCAATTATTTACAGACAGAAGTGTAGTCATCAATACTATAGTCTGCTGACAATGTGATATGTTGAGACTAATGAATAGTTAGATTCGATGTCCTGAAACACGTACAAATCCGAGACGAAAAGTCAAAACTGCTATTTCCTAAGACAACGACCTCTTGAGTGACTTCCAAAGAGTGAAACATTGAAGGAAGAAAACCCACGATTAGTAACGGTAATTCGCAAATGCTATCTTGTTATCTTGTGACTCATATCCTTGAATTACTCAAACTTGCTGTGTTAACTACACCCTTGAAACATCCCGCTTGATTAATCTTGAAAAGATTGAATTCCATTCTTTATATCAAAATAATAAAACCACGATTCTTCATTAAACAAAAAGATGTTTTATAATACCGATCTTTGAAAACTATACCCTGTGGAATACGTGACTCGATCACAATAGTAAAACTACCTTGACTTGAACATTATGTTGAACCTCTCTTTGTAGACCACAAAACGATCAATACGGTTGTGTTATCTATAAAGATTACTATCGATGATGATTAAGGAACTCCATTATAACCCTATCAAGGGAATGTATGTGCGACAACCAGAGTAGAAATGACGTCACAAAGATCAAGTTGAACCATCCAAAGCGAACAAGGAAAGTTGAAAACGACAAGGTGTATATGAGACGTCACTCGATTGTCAACACCTATGAATGCGAATTAATACAAAGACTCATTGATGATAATGAGAATTGCTATGAAGTGTGTGAAGAAATGTTTTTACATAAAGATCAATAAATGACGAGCGACTGTACAACCGATCGACAGTATTTCCTCCTAAATGATGACAAATCCTATATCCTGAAAATCTTGGACCACTAAGAGACCTTTGACGTATTTGCAAAACATGGTTGTACTATGTGAACGATACAAAGATATCTCAAGGTGAAATTTACGTTATGATGTGTGAATTGAAGACAAACTCCAAAAATCTTCCACTACACCTATCGCGAACTTGATAATTCGAAACTGCAAGGGCTACTGAAGGATATTCAATCAAAAGAAGAAATATCGTTAATCGACGTTGTACAATTGGGAATTGTGAATAAACGAAGTTATGTGCGAGTATGTCAAATATACAACCGTATACATTGCAAGGAAACCTTAGTTGTTGACACTGAAGGATCATTGAATGTCTTGCTTAATCAAAGATTGTTAATCTCTTGAAAAAAACGAGTTTGGTAACATCGACAGTTTGAGAATACATATTCGTGTGGATAATGACGTGATTATGATTTAACCGAATGAAAATGACACGGTCATTATTAAGTGCGATCACAACAAAATGTTGAACGTTGAGCCTTAGCAGAATTTCGAGGACGAAATTCCTTTAAGGGGGGGAGAAATGTAACGCCCCAAAACATACCCTAGAATTATTAATAAATAAATAATAAATTAATCAAATTTGTTTTGATTAAAATAATTTATTGTTGGACTTTGGGCCGAAATAATATGTGTTTGATATCCAATATCTTAATCTGGATAAATCTCATAAAGATAAATCCAATATATTGGCTATTTGTGTGGTCTTGATTGAGAACCTGAGTACAGACCTAAATCAAAAATAAATGAAGAAATTATTTATAATATGAACTTTAAAATGATTTATTGAAATAAATCATGAGAACAAATGATATGAATTAAATGTGAGAACCTTTTTGAATAAAGGTCAAATAAACCAATTTTGACTTTGTCAAAGTCAAACACTCAAAAATATGATGTCGGAAAAAGTATTACAAATAAATATGAATATTATATCGTTGAATAAAGCTCGACTGTCTGATCGCGACGATGCAAACGGATTTCAAATCGGAGAAAGTTGGACCAAAAAGTGTACCTCGACTGGGACCAAATTAGTCCCAATCAGGGACTTGCGTTTGAAATGGGAAGAAATCGCCGTCCGCTCCACTAGCCGCTCAAACAGAGAAGTGACGCAGGAACCATTGGCCTCTTCTCCATTCTTCTTCTATATAATGGAAACCAAACCTTCACCATTCTTCATCAAATTCGTTCTGGGAGATAGCCTTGAGTGTGGAGAACGCAGTGGTGCTGTCAATTTGGTGTAAGGTCGCCGAAGTTGAGAGCTATCGTCGCCGGAAGTTTCGCCAGAAAATTCTCAAAACCTCCATTAAGCTTCGAGGTAAGCCCGTAGATATATCTAATGACTAGAATGTTCATATAGGTCGTTTCTACGTTCATAAATGGTCATTTGCTTGAGTTTTGTGTTTGACATGCTTGAAGAACTAAGAATCATAAACCATGAAATTGATGTTAAAATTATGAATTAATGATTCTAAAATGATCCATGAACCTTGGAGAACATTTTTATATACTTTAATTGAAGTTTGGTGAGTAAAAGTGACATTTCCGCAAGTTGGCTCGAGGTAGAAGACGATGGATAATCGATTATCAACTTGAAAATCGATTATTCATCGTTCTGCAGATTTTTTTGAACAAAGCTGAGCAACAGTCGATTATCAGAATGTGATAATCGACTGTCAGCCCTCTCTGAAGTTTGATAATCGGTTATCAGAGTGTGATAATCGATTATCAGCCCATTCTGAATATCATACAGTAGATTATCAGAAGTGACAGTAGACTGTCTCCCTACACTATTGAAGAAAATGAAGCTAATAGTTAATAATTGAATTTCCTATCATATATTAATCAGTTATTGTTTAGAAAACATAATTTTTGAACTATGAAATCCTATTTTTGATACCAATTAATTATGCACAATATAAATATCATTTTGTATAATAACAATGATGTTTTTGGCATATAAAATACTATGTGATGCATGACGGTAAGTTTGGGTGTTAACACTCGAGACTAGGCCGCTGTTTGTTATCAAATGTTATGTTGATTGATGATTATGATGAATGATTATTATGATGATTATGACTTGATGAAACTAGTGATTAAAATGATTATTGAAGATTAAATTATGAATTGAAATGAATATGTTGATGATTATGAAATGATTTGAATTCTAAGGATATCTAGAAGAACTCTAAGATATACCTAGGTTGACGTTGGTTTCTAAGACTATCTAGAAGACCTCTAAGATGACTTAGAAATAGGCCTTGCGGGTATAATTATGAATATTTGGTGGCCTGGGTTAAAACGTACGTACGGGATCCATAACCAAACTAGAGGAACTCGTTTGGGGATGCCACCCAACCCGACAATTAGTATCCTACTATTCGATTTTCTAGATTTGTACCTTAAGCGAAGGCTAGTTTAAGAGTTGGTAAATCAATCTGAAATATGTACCTTAAACTAAGGACCTAGCTTAAGAGTTGGTTAGAAGTACCTTAAACTAGAATTAGTTTAAGAGTTGGTTAGAAGTACCTTAAACTAGAATTAGTTTAAGAGTTGGTTAAAAGTACCTTAAACTAGAATTAGTTTAAGAGTTAGTTAGAAGTACCTTAAACTAGAATTAGTTTAAGAATTGGTTAGAAGTACCTTAAACTCGAATATAGTTTAACTATCTTAAACTAGAATTCGTTTAAAAGTTGGTAAACATCAAAAAGATTGACCTTAGACTAAGCATAGTTTAAGGATATTGTTGAATATTGAATATTGAATATGAATGTTGAATGTTAAGATATTGGAATAAAAATATTGAGAATATCATGAATGAATTATATATTGTGTGCATGATATCAAATGGTTGTTTGTGAATTGAGATTCAATTTATGTGGATGTTCGACGCTTTAGATATGCTTACTCAGCTTCACCGCTGAGCGTGTAGTGTGTTTTATTTGCTACACGCAGGTAAACAGAAAGATTAATGTGATCCTGGCGGAAGATGGAGCTAGATTGTCGGAATGGATGTGACAAGTTTTGAAATGATTTATGATATGTCAATATTAAATTCGCTTCCGCAATATTGTTAAATACTCCGTACTGTATATGTTATGAAAAATTTTATTGAGATTAATAAAGTGTGTTTGAAAAATTTTAAATTTTACGATTACCAAAACAAATACTTTAGTCCGAATGGGGCTGCAGACCTGGACGGATTAGGGTGTTACAAGACAATCGACTATCACCTTGCATCTCTGAAAAATTTGTCTTCATCCTGTTGGAAATTCTAGCAATGGGTTTATCCCATTTTAGGCTATAAAATGGCACCCAAATCCTCTCATTTTACACACAATTCTTCAGTATTTCAATACTCTTTCATTGCATAAGCATTCCTATTTTTCTTAGCTATTTGAGAGCCAATTCTTGAAGAAATTGTCGTGTTCTTGAGCGTTTACTAGTTCACTCATATCTACTCTTTGTGAGAGTTTTATTCCTGAGTGTTTAAGTGTTTCTATACACATTAAGGAAGGTTTTTCCCTTTTTGTAAACTCGAAGGAAGTCTTTCGTTCCTTCGTGAGAAGTCTTGGAGTGCGGTATCTCCGAGCAAAGGCGTTGAGGCTCGTGTGACTCAAGTTCTCAAGTTGTATCGGTTTGTTGAGCACCTTTAAGCTTAACGGAGTTAGTGTAACTCGAGAGAGTCTCTCGAAAGGCTGGATTAGCCACACGTTGTGGTGAACCAGGATAAAATCCGGTGTGCTCCTTCCTTACGCTCTTTACTTTATCGCTCTCGTTTTTAATTTCCTGCTATTTTGTTTTAAACGCTATTCACCCCCCCTCTAGTGTTGGGCCTATTTTCTAACAATTGGTATTGGAGCCATATTCTCTGAAAGACTTAACCGTTTGAGAGAAACGATCAATGGCTTCTACTCAAAATGTTTTCGCAGGAATAGGTGAAGGTCAATCTACCACGAGGCCACTGTTATTTGATGGAACAAATTATACATATTGGAAAGAGCGGATGAGGATTTTTATTCAATCCAACAACTTTCTTTTGTGGAGAATAATTAAAAATGGTGAAGAAGTACCCACCAAGAAAGTTGGGGAAACCATCGTGCACAAAACTGAAGATGAGTATGATGAGCGGGATATCAAGAAGATAGAAAACAACGCCAAGGCTATCAACATCATCTATTGTGCCGTAAACCCGGATGATTACCGGAAGATCTCTTGTTGTTCCACCGCCAAGGAAATGTGGGACAAGCTAGAAATCACATATGAAGGTACGGATCAAGTCCGAGAAGCTAAGATAGGTTTTCTAACCCATGAGTATGAACTATTTTGTATGAAGGAGAATGAGAAAATCGACGATATGTTTGAACGATTTTCAAAAATCGTAAACAACTTCATGCTCTCAAGAAAACATACACGGACAAGGAGCTTGTGAGAAAAATCCTGTGGAGTCTCACACCGGAATGGCGCTCCAAAGCCGATGCTATCCAAGAATCCATCGGCATCACCAGTGTCACCATTGACGGGCTTAGAGGTAACCTCAAAACGTATGAGTCTACCATTCTTTACCCCTCTTTAGGTGAACAAAAGAAGAATGGGATTGCACTCAAGGCGTCCACAAGTCAAGAACGTGATGTGAAGGACTCGAGTGACAAAGACGAGTTCGGGGTCGTGCTTCAGAAATTCTATAAGTTCATGCGCAAGGAGTTTGAACGAAAAGGAAAGAAGCAAGGAGAACCACCCAAATGCTATGGGTGTGGAGAAGTTGGGCATATAAAACCAAAATGCCCAAATACAAAGAATGAGAAGAAACCGTTCAAGAAGCACCGAGCTTACATCTCGTGGGGAGGTGATTCCGGCGATGAATCATCGGAAGGCGAAGAAAACGAAAGTGCCAACCTTTGCCTCGTGGCACACGAGGAATCACCGGAAGAGGTATGTACCACTTCTAAAGATTCCTACACCTTTGATGATGTTCAAGAAGCCTTCAATGAACTTTATGATGAATATGTCAACGCTTCTAAAATTAACAAGGATTTGAAGAAACAACTTACTTCCATGGAGAAGGAAGTTGATAACCTATCAAAAGATAATGAAAAACTTAAAGAAGAAAATAAGTTTTTCGGGAAAAGAAGCGCCGGCAAACTGGAAAGTTCCAAATGTTGTTCTTCACCATCACTTAAGCAACAAGTTGCAAAACTTGAAGGAACCTTGAAAAAGTTTGGTGTTTCTCATAAAAATCTTAATGATATTCTTGATAATTTGCAACTTACTAAACATGGCTTAGGGTTTGAAAATGAAATTAACAATAATAAAGAAAAAGTTGAGCAACCACCTAAATAACCTAAGGCTCAACTTAGGAAAAATAAAATGAGCAATAATAGACAACCTAGAACAACTAGGAACACTAGACCACCTGGAAAGAACACTAGGATAAACTATGGTCATGTTAGAGAACCTAGGAACAATTTTATAAATATGCATAAGCAAAACTTTTCTTAAACTAGGATCAATCAATATAGAAAACCTAGCAATTATTATCAACGTAGGAGAATGTACAATCCAAATGTAGTATGTCATTATTGCCATAAGGTAGGTCATATAGCACCCATGTGTTTTAGTAGGCATAGGCATTACACAAATAACAAAACACACACTTTGCATAGGACTAACCTAACGAGATCCTTTGAAAAGGGATATTCGAGTTCTAAGCGATTCTCGCAGGAATCAACGCAAAAGAAACCATATTACTTCTTCTATTATGATGAAAAGAAGAAGATTCACATACCACTTCCAGAACCCACACAAATCAAACCAAGGTATAGGCACTCGGTTCAAGTGGACTGGAACCCGCCAACCCAAAGACCACAAGTTGGTCAAGGTAACACTTAAATGTGAATATCGTACGTGCGTGTGTGTGTGCTTTGGCGTGTGTGGCTATGGGTGCGTGTGTTTATTTAAAAAGTCATGTTACTAATCCTCAAGGACCCAAAAGATCAGAAATTGGGTACCAAATGTTTTCATTGTAGGTGTCAAAGTCAGGGGGAACAAATTAAATCGACTTCTGATTTCCAGACTTGGTGTGAATCGATTTACACGCTTGTATTAATTGACTATCACAGCCCGCGGAAGTTTGAGGCAAATCAGCCACAAACTCCAACATTCGATTATCAACTTTCTAATAATCGATTAACATGGATCTCTGAACATTTCAGACTTCAGAAGGAAATCAGCGTCAGTCGACTTACACAAACTTGGCAATCGACTATTCATGTCTGCAGATCTTTCGGCGGAGAATCAGAGGGCTCAGATAATCGATTTACAAATTGTGTAAATCGATTTACAACGGCGATTTTTCAAAAATCTGACCGTTTCAGAACCGTTGGAACTGCTTTAAAGTCACTTTTTGACTTCCCCAACGGATCTCAAGCCTCTTCCACTATATATTGGTGATCTCCTTTCATGTTTTACTCACTCACATCTCATTTTCTTCACATATTCATCCAATTACATCAATTCTTCTCTATTCTTCATAAAATTTCTGCAAATTAGTCTTGTTTTCTCCCTATCTCTTGTTGCAATGGCAAGAGGTCAAAGAAAGCGCTCCCGCACCGGAAAGAACGTCGCTTCTGCCTCGACTCCTCCACCACCGGCGCACAAGTACTTCGATGGGTCGTTCCTTTGGTTCAACGACCGCGCAGAGGCAACGCAGTTCTCGGAGAAGTTTGAGCACCGAGAAATTCTTCCTCCCCGGTTCTCCACCGCCCGCTTCATTCATGATTCCATTCCACGCGAGGCACGAATTATCCTCGAGCGTGGAAATTTCCTCGATCTCCTCTACATCAAGAAGGCTCACTATCAACCCTTTCTCGTTCGAGCTTTTTACTCGAACTTGACAAAGGATGAGGACGGAGCGTTGATTTCAAACGTCAACGTGGTGGATATCTATTTGAATGAGGAGAACATTCAAATACTCACCGGACTTCGTCGGAATTGAGAGGATCTCGGACTCTATGTCAGAGAAGAAGGAGCGCAGTTCAACGAGACTGCACTCTTGGAGGAAGTGGGCATCAGAAACTTCGTCACCACTCCCCAACAGCGGCGCCCTACGATTACTTCCATGAGTCCCGTGTTTCGCTTCATTTTTTATGTTTTGACACAAATTCTCAAGCCAAGGAAGTTCAATCACACCGCTCTCTCCCAAGAGGACACGAAGATGCTTCATGCGATGATTCACAACGCCAATATCAATTTGTGTAAGTTTGTGATGACTCACATGTTCAATGCCACCTCCGACAACCGGCCGCTTCCCTATGCTCTTCTCGTCATGGCTATCCTTGATGAGTTCCACATCAATACGGACATCGGGCAAAAATGCAAAGGGACAAAGCATTGGGAGATTGATGACTCCTCCTTCCACTCGGGAACCAACGAGACTCCGTTTCGACAGCCTCGTCCACGCCGCCAACCAAGGGCCACCGCTTCGACCAACACTTCTCTTGCCGAGCAAATGGCAGCCTTGACCGCCACTCTCTCTCGGATTGACACCAACGTCTCCCAAATGGCCCAAAATGTCAATATTTTGAGCCGTGAGCTTCACGGGTATTTTGACTTTGTCAACTACCCCTACGCTCAAATGGTCCCTTACGCTCCTCCGCCAAACTTCGGTAATGAACCAAACGGGACTAATTGTTAGAATAAAGGCCCAACGCTAGAGGGGGGGGGGGGTGAATAGCGTTTAAAACAAAATCGCAGGAAATTAAAACGAGAGCGTTAAAGTAAAGAGCGTAAGGAAGGAGCACACCGGATTTTATCCTGGTTCACCACAACGTGTGGCTAATCCAGCCTCCCGAGAACCTCTCTCGAGCTACACTAACTCCGTTAAGCTTAAGGGTGCTTAACAAACCGATACAACTTGAGAACCCGAGTCACACGAGCCTCAACACCTTTGCTCGGAGATACCGCACTCCAAGACTTCTCACGAAGGAACAAGGAACTTCCTTCGAGTTTACAACAAGGGAACAAACTCCCTTAAAGTGTATGAAAACACTTAAACACTCAGGAAGAAAACTCTCACAAAGAGTAGATATGAGTGAACTAGTAAATGCTCAAGAACACGACAATTTCTTCAAGAATTGGCTCTCAAATAGCTAAGAAAAATGGGAATGTTTATGCAATGAAAGGGTATTGAACTGTTGAAGAATTGTGTGTTAAAAGAGAGGATTTGGGTGCCCTTTTATAGCCCAAAAAGGGATAAACCCGTTGCTAGAATTTCCAACAGGATGAAGACAAATTTTTCAGGGACACAGGCTGATAGTCGATTGTCAAACCATGATAATCGATTATCCAAAGATTCCCTGTCCAAAAATTTAAAATTCTATCCGTTGGAGTACAACGGTAACCCAGATAATCGATTGTCAACAAGTGATAATCGATTATTGGTCCTCTTTGAAGATTCTGGGTTTTGGCTGCAAGGCTGATAATCGATTATTGCAAATCTGATAATCAATTATTGCGTGCTTCAGAACTTGGAAGTTCAAAGCTGCAGTGGCTGATAGTCGATTGTCACTAAGGTGATAATCGGTTATCACCCAGCTAATGTCTAGCCAGCTAAAACCCGTTTTGAAAAACCGAGGTCCAAAAACGAAGCGTTCCCAAAAGTAAAAACCAATTATGAAAAACATTGTATATGGTATAAAATAGTGAAAACAAGACTTGTTTGGTGAACACCAAGTCCTCAAGGTCGTAAATCACGTGCGTACGGTTTTGACCGTTTTTATGTGTTAGACCGATTGACCAAGATACAAGAGTGGTTTTTATAAAATAATTATTCGGGAACCTTTAAAATATGCTCAGAGATAAAAACAGGGTTTAAAATATTGAAAACCACGGAGTTGGTTCGGGCGCCAAAAACCGAACGCCGAAAGCCGAAACGTTGAAAGCCGAAAGCCGACTTAGGTGGTTTTGGTTCTCAGCAAGGACCAGGGATTTTAACAATAAAGAGATTTATCTAAAATGTTTATTTTGATGCATAAAAACATTTTATGATTTTGTAAAATAATTTTGACTCTTTGAGAACCGAGACTTGAATTGATTATCGGTTTTGATCACAAAAGACCGACTCGACTAAGTCTTCAATTCTTGATCTTGTCCTTGAGTCTTTTAGGTCTTGTTCCCAGCCATTCTTCACGCCTTGAGTTATTCAACGAAACTCTTCATATCCACGGCGGTTTGGCAATTATCAAAACCTGTCAGAAATGAACACGACTTTAGTTTAACGTACAAAGTGTGTTCCAACACTAATAACGTTGGTGGAGAAGAAGAGGAAGAGGACGCCGAAGGAGAAGAAGAAGATGATGATGATGAAGAGGAAGAGGAAGACATCGACGAAGAACAACTTCTCGATGATCTTTCACCGGATTTCTAGAGCTCTAGCTCTTTTCTCTTCTCTTCTTTAATTATTATGCATTTTAAGTTTGCTTCCGTTATGTACTTTGCTATTTCCCTTATTTAATGAATAAAAATCTTTATGGCTTTTGTTAAATCTTTTTGTTAATGTCAAAAGGGGGAAGATAAGGGCTATGCATATATTAAGAGGGGAATTTTTATTAAGGGAGAATTTCTTTAAAAAAGATCAAAACCCTTTGCATATCCCCGTCTTGTTTGCCATTATCAAAAAGGGGGAAATTGTTGGAACACACTTTTTATTACGTTAAACTAACGTCGTGTTCATTTCTGACAGGTTTTGATAACTGCCAAACCGCCGTGGATATGAAGAGTTTCGTTGAATAACTCAAGGCGTGAAGAATGGCATGGAACAAGACCAAAAGACTCAAGGACAAGATCAAGAATTGAAGACGTAGTCGAGTCGGTCTTTTGTGATCAAAACCGACAATCAATTCAAGTCTCGGTTATCAAAGAGTCAAAATAATTTTACAAAATCATAAAACGTTTTTGTGCATCAAATAAAAATTTTTAAAAGCTTCATTGTATTAAAATCCCTGGTCCTTGCCCAGGCCAAAAACCACCTCGGTCGGCGCTCGGTGTTCGGCATCGGCATACGGCCTTCGGGGTTCGGCGTTCGGTTTTCGGCGTCCGAACCAACTCGGTGGTTTTCAATATTTTAAACCTCTTTTTACCTCTGGGCATATTTAAAAGGTTCCCAAATAATTATTTTATAAAAACCACTTTTGTATCTTGGTCAATCGGTCTAACACGTGAAAAACGGTCAAAACTGTACACACATGTCTAACGACCTCGAAGACTTGGTTTTTATCAAACAAGTCTTGATTTCACTATTTTATACCATACACAATGTTATTCAAACTTGGTTTTTGCTTTTGGGAACACTTCGTTTTTGGACCTCGGCTTTTCGGGTTAAGTTTCTCGTCGGATGGTTTTAGCCAGCTGAAAATCGATTGTCAGGAAATGACATTCAAATATTGGATACTGTAGTTCTGAGCCTCAAGTTCAGAACCACCCAATAGTCGATTGACAACTTTTGTCACTCGACTGTCTGCGTTTAACTTCAAACCCAAAAACTTCTGAGAGGCCTGATAGTCGAGTGACAGGTCTTGACAATCGACTATCAGCGTTACCGTTGTCCTCCAACGGATAGAATTTTAAATTTTTGGACAGGGAATCTTTTGATAATCGATTATCAAGGCTAGACAATCGACTATCACCCTGCATCTCTGAAAAATTTGTCTTCATCCTGTTGGAAATTCTAGCAACGGGTTTATCCCATTTTAGGCTATAAAATGGCACCCAAATCCTCTCATTTTACACACAATTCTTCAATATTTCAATACTCTTTCATTGCATAAGCATTCCTATTTTTCTTAGCTATTTGAGAGCCAATTCTTGAAGAAATTGTCGTGTTCTTGAGCGTTTACTAGTTCACTCATATCTACTCTTTGTGAGAGTTTTATTCTTGAGTGTTTAAGTGTTTCTATACACTTTAAGGGAGGTTTTCCCTTGTTGTAAACTCGAAGGAAGTCTTTCGTTCCTTCGTGAGAAGTCTTGGAGTGCGGTATCTCCGAGCAAAGGCGTTGAGGCTCGTGTGACTCAAGTTCTCATGTTGTATCGGTTTGTTGAGCACCTTTAAGCTTAACGGAGTTAGTGTAACTCGAGAGAGTCTCTCGAAAGGCTGGATTAGCCACACGTTGTGGTGAACCAGGATAAAATCTGGTGTGCTCCTTCTTTACGCTCTTTACTTTATTCACCCCTCCTCTAGCGTTGGGCCTATTTTCTAACAGCGATGACACGTGTCATGCCACACGTGCATACTACCGACATGTATCATGCCACATGTGCATACTACTGACATGTGTCATGTCACATGTAAATCACAAGACACATGTCATTCCACACATGCATATTTAATTTTGCATTAAATTATTATTTTTATTATATTTTATAAACCCTTCACTTTCTTGCACTAAATAACCATTATTATTGAGCAAAAAGAACATTTATTGTTATTAAATTTTCAAAGCAGTATTATAACATTTTTATCACATATAAATATTTATTAAATACAAAATTAGTTTAAACTTTTTATCCTATTACATACTACGAAGTATATTTTAGTATATGGTGTATATTTTTTTCAACAAACTAAATGTTAGACAAATGTGCAACTCTAGAGGGGGGGTGAATAGAGTTGTTTTCAAGAATGTGCGTTTTTTGCGTGTGTGAAATAATAAAATCGCAGGAATAAATAAAGAGAGTAAGGAAAAGAAGAACACCGAGATATATACTGGTTCACCACCTCGTGGCTAGTCCAGTCCTCCGAGAGACTCTCTCGAAAGTCCTACTAATCTTCAAGCTTCAACGGGTGCTTGAAAAACCGGTACAACTTGAGAACTTGAATCACACAAGCCTCACTTTCTAACAACAAGACTTGAGTCACACAAGTCTTAAGAACAACACTCAAATGAGATTGAGTTTACAACACAAGAATGAAAGCTCACACAATTGAGCAAAGTAGTGTTGAAGAATTAAAGCTCTATGGATGACAACTTCTTTAGCACTCAAAGAAAATATTTCTAACTCTCAAAAATAATATTTTGATGAGGAAGATGAAGCAAAAGGATGAATATAGCTCAAAGAATATTTTGGAGTGCAAGAGGTGTGTTTTGAAAATGAAGGAGAATGAGGGATTAAATAGGCTGAGAAAAAAAGATCCGTTGGAGCCACTGAAAAGAACTAAGAATAGGCACCAGACAGAATTAATCAATTAAATTAGGGACTTTAATCGATTAAAGTGTACAGAAGCGAAAAGGCTTGAATGCAAAGGTGGAATTAATCGATTAAAAAGAAGAGAAAAATCGATTACCTTGCTCTGTTTAAACTGATCGATTAAATGGACAAATTTAATCAATTAAGTCTATTGGCCTGAGAAATCCAGCGCTGAGAAATTGGATCTAATCGATTATTTTAGATAATTTAATCGATTAAAGTGAAAAATAATGCGCAAACATGAAGGGCCCAAGCCAAGTGTGATTGGAAGCCTTTGGCTTCTAACTCGTTGTTTGGGACAACGGGAATATCAAAGGACGCTCCTCCTATTCAATGAATTTGAGTAGGGGAGAGAAAAAGAGTCCAAAAATTATTTTGTGTGTCAAACGATGTACACGAAAAATATTTAAATTATATTTTTCTTAACTAAAAAATTTGTGTAATCTTAAAAAAAATGTTTTAAAGAAATTTTGACACATTTATTTTGAAACTGACTCACTAAAATATTTTAGACAGAGGAAAAGTAATTTTTCAACTGACTCCAAAATAATAATTTTTATCCCTCAGAAATTAATTTGTTTGTGCAGAAGATATTGTCATCCTTACAAAGATTCCTAGACTTAGAAAAAAATCTTCGGAGTCTTCACTTCACTTCAAAATCTGCGTAGGGGTGATCGTCGATTTTTTTTATATCGCCGTAAACTTCTTGATACCCTTCTTTGCTTTTCTCGATACGAAAATAAATTTTCGATCAGCTTGAATTTAATCATCCTGTTTGTCATTCATCAAAACAAAAATATTCCAGAAGAAATAGTAAAGGGGTTTGAACTCATGTCCAACAATTTCCCCCTTTTTGATAATGACAAACATAGTTGAGAAGGAGCAAAGTAAGAGTTCAAAAATTACTTTCTTTTAAGAATAATTCCCCCTGCAAGGTTAGAGAAGTGTAGTAAAAAATAATCGGAGTAATAAGCGAAAAAATGATTTAAAAAATTTCTCAACTATCCTTCCTTCCCCCTTTTGGCATTATCAACCGATAACCTTCCCCCTTAAACAATGCCGGGATATTGAAGGAAAAGAAAAAAAAATTGGCAAGAGTTTTCGTTAAAAGAGAACTCTTAGTAAAGATGCCACAAAGGGACAATATGTTCTAAATAAGAACAATATTGCAAGACCAACAATGATATCAATACACAATCAAAATTAATATCAACTAGCACCATTGAAAAGAACATCATCATCCACCAAAAGAGTCATAAAACAATAACATTAGCAAATAACAATGTATCATAATAAGTCAAGATGGAAGGAATATAATAATCAAAGAGAGTTCGCCGGACGAGCTCCTCCGCCAAAGCTGTGACGCGGGCCACGGAAGGAGCGAGATTGCTCAAGAATAGTCATCCTCTCGTTGAGCTGGCGAACGTCATCTCGGATGCACGTGAGAGTATCGAAGATCCTCTTCACCCAAGAAGGTTCCGGTGCTTCTTCTCTTGGACGAGTCCTCCGTTGACGAGTAACGCGCTCCGTGGCTCGACTACCTCCGGCTCGAGATGACTCAGCTTGAGTCTCGTTTTGGCTCTCTTCTTCTTCTTCTGCGACTATCAGGTCCAGATTTGGTGCAGCATCGCCCTCCTCTCGATACACGATCCGGGAAAACTTGGCTTCAGAGATGAAACAAGTCTTCTTGACCGGCACCTGAGTGTCCCGAGTAAAGTCTATTTTGCAATGAGCAAGGATATGCATAATGGGGACGGCAAAACGGAGATGGGAAAAACGAGTGCCATCGCTAAGTGCAACAATAAAGAAGTGAACCCAATCAAATTTGACATCGTTCATCAGGACGTGAAACAAACGAATATCGTCCTTGTTGACAACGCCATGGTTCGAATCACGGGGCAACAAAACATAAGAGAAGATGTATTGTTGGACGCGTTGAATTAAAGTGAGATTAACGACACTCGGGTTGCTAGAATTTCTAAACTTGAGGTCACGATGATCTAACCCGAGTTGTCGCCAAATTGCCTCATCTTGGAATGTTTCATCCAAGTTTTCGGTAATTTCACCGCGACGAAGGCCAAACAGAGAAGTCAAACCGGCACCGTCAATGAAAACGGTTTTACCGTCAACATAGGAAATGAGAGATGGCGAGCCTCCCTTGGTGGTACGAAGATTTGCATAAAATTGACGTATAAGATTTGGACAGAAGAATTCATACGTCAAATGGATGAAACGAAGCAAACCTTACTGAAGGAACAGAGACTTACTCGGGGCATAGGTCGCCGATTTGAAGAGGTCCTTGTTCACGATTTTAGGAGAGACAATCTCCTTCGTGAGGAAGGTGTTGTGGAACCTCTCGACTGAAGCCCCAGTGATGAAGGCGAGACCAGTTTGTATGTGAATGTACTTGCTCCCTTCACGACGCCAAGGCCTCTCACTCTCCTCTGCCGCCGTTTCTTGACCCGAGGAAGCGTTCTTGCACCTTGGCATTCTTCCTTTTTGAAATTGATGAAATTTGGTAAAAAAAATGAAAGAAATTTGAGAAGTTTCTGATGAAGATTGAGAAAATTTGAGAAGGGAAGGAGCTAGGGTTTCTCTGATTCGTAAACGGGGAATGGCGAAGAAGACGAAGACTGGGTGTGATAAAAGGGCAAAAATCGACTATTAATCGATTAAAAACAAGTATTTAATCGATTAGGGAACACAGCCGAGGCTAATCGATTAAATTAAGCTTATTAATCGATTAGAAGTGGAGCAGAACCAAACGTTTGCGTTTCAAGCTATTAATCGATTAAACAGAGATGTTTAATCGATTAAGATGGATAGATGAGTCTAATCGATTAATGTAACCAAATTAATCGATTACAAGTGACGCAGAGCAAAAAGTTTCGGATTTTAATCGATTAACAAAAGTCAAGTAATCGATTAAGAGGGACAGAGGCGACTAATCGATTTCTCTTCGAGGACTAATCGATTAAAACTTGTTTGACAGAAAAAAAATCATCAAGTCCAATTCGGTTGAATACCAAGGGAAGAGATACCTGTAATAAAAGACCTGCAAAAAAGAGTTTATCGCGCCTCCGACGCTCAAATTAGTATAGTCAATAAAAAGAATGGATTAGTTCATAGAGATATCCAAAATTCCAAGTTCGTTCCGAATGTGGAAGAAACTCTCCCTACTAAGGGGTTTCGTGAAAATGTCTGCCAATTGATGTTTCGTTTCAACAAACTCAATTGTGACATCTCCCTTTTGGACGTGATCTCGTATGAAGTGATGCCTAATTTCTATGTGCTTAGTCCTCAAGTGAAGAACGGGGTTCTTCGTTAGACTAATAGCGCTCATATTGTCACACCTAATAGGGATGTGATCAAGTATAAGGCCAAAATCCACTAGTTGCTGTTTTAGCCAAAGAATTTGGGCACAACAACTTCCCGCAGCGACATATTCCGCTTCGGTGGTGGAAAGTG